GAAAGAGAGCTGAATTGGAGAATGTTTCCAAATCAGCAACTTTGTCCTAGATGGTTCACCTCTCCTGCCTTCTCCAAACTCTTCACCCTTTTGTGAATAAACCTGTATGTCTCCCCAAGCCCCGTGCATGCGCAGTAATGCAATGCATTACTGCATTAGTAAGGAAATATGGCAGCGAGATTGTGCGCAGTCACTGTAGTGGATTGTATCAGAAATATGATGGCAGTATTCAACACAAGTGCATTAGTGACCCTAGAGATTGGCTGGTATTAAAGGGTGCTACCATGCATGTGCAGGACCTGCAACCATATTCCTGAGATCACAGACCACAATGCACAGGAGCGGACTCTCTAGGTGCAGGAGCAGACACTCTGCCAACAGCCCCTTTTCTCTCTCCACCACTCTCTCCTGCTCTCAGGCTCCCACCCCTTCTCTCACCATTTTCCAAGCAACTCCCTTCTTCATTTACATGCCCCACTCTCATCTTAACCCCCTTCCCCTTTGCTCTCACCACCACACCTGTAGGCCTCCCAACCACTGTGCCTGCACAACCCCCACCTCCCAATATCACCACAGCACCTGAGCCCCATGTTTCCTCTGCAGCTCTTACTGCTGCACCTGCACAAACACAATGCTCCATTTTTATATTAAAAAAAGCTTAAAAACTGGCCCATAAAAAGGCCAGAAAAAAACAAAGAAAAAATAACAAAATGTGACTCTCTTAGAATTCTTAAGGGAAATTTTGATGAGTTCACCAAACCTCCTGTAAACTAAACTTTGCTCAGTTTACTTACTGTATCTTTACTCTGGAATTCTAATTGGTTGCTTATAAGAGCTTGTCAGTTAGTGTTACATGGTTTTACCAGTAACTGCCTGCACAACATATAAATAGTAATTTGTAACACTGAACTGCCAGCTTTTTTTGGCGTTTGCATTTTGGTTAGTGAAGGCAGAGGAGATGCTGGAGCTGTGTTATGAATATAACTTAGAGATTACATAACAGAACAGGAATTAAGCCTGATGCACCTGTAGACAAAACTGGAAAACTTCCTTGCTCTGTCAAAACACCAATTTCAAATTGTACCGTTCATATACCCTATAATTACTGTGAATTGAATTGGTGGTTTCCTATAGGTAATATATGAAGAAAACAAATTATCTAGTTTTTTTTTTATCTTGCTAATGGGGCCTAGACAATTTCTTGTAAGTTCTCCACAGAATTGGAATGTAGACATAAATCTACAGCCATCTATAATATTTTTTTCAGCATATTTAAGAGTTTTGTCACATTTCTCCCTTTAGCTTGCCATCAGAACACAAATGCCATCATCCTTCTAGGCTGGAAGTAGAATAATGTATTTGAAATGCTGTGTGCATAATCCACTCGCAATGTCTAGACATGATTTTTTTTTTTAAATTAATTCAGGTTCTTTTAAGAGGGAAATGTGTGCTCTTTTATCTGTCATCTAGGTTTAAAAACATATTTTCAGACTTTCAGTTTTCTAGAAGTTCTTTCTTTTACACCACTTATTCTGGATGCCAATGCTTGAGGAATCTGATTTCCACCCCCTCTCCCCTTTCTTATTTTTATTAAATTTAAGATTTAAACCTGAACTTAAGGCAAAAGTAGAAAATATTTTAAAACCTCCTCCTCTGACCACTTTCAAATTGAAAAAAAAAAGTATCACCTAAATGGCTTCTGTGTGAAGATACTTGAAGTTTTAATGCCCCGTGACATCATCAGAGGGCTCCCTTCCAAATCCCGGAAGCAGCAGTAAGTGGGAGGAGTTGGCAGGGTGCTCTGTGAGTCTTCCTGTTTAAGTAGGTAAACTGTGCCAGATTACTGCTACAGTTGTTTTAGGCGGTACCCTGTCATCCCTGCAGTCCTGTCAATCTTCTCAAATATTGTGCACTTCCAATTAGACCCCAGCACATTCAAAGGTTTCCTTCACCCAGTCCACAATAGGTTTGGTTATCTTTCCTAAACTCAATACTGCAAGTCCAGCTGCATGTTTTCTTCAACGGCTTTGTGCCCTTGTCAGTGCTGCAATTGTTTCTCAGCCTGCTCCAGTGCTCAGAAAAGTAATTATAATCTTAAAAAGGCAGACTCTGTTTTCTGTTAGATTGCTACTGTGCTGCCCTGATGGCGTGTGCAGTATCTGTAGCTGACTTCTGCCTGTTAACATACCAAGCTGACATCTCCATCCAAGGCAGTAGCGTAATAATGTGACAGAAACCAAAGCCTGCTTTTCTCCAGAGATAAATTGCAGAGTGGCAGACAATAAGTTCACCATACATGTAACAATCTGACCAATTAATTTTAGATCTACCGAAAACCTAATCAGTTTGTATTCAGTCAGATAGATCCTTGTACTTACATTCCTGTTGATAGATCTAAAAGAGATTGTACAAATAGATTTAAACGTGTAGTGAACAGCCTTTTATTTCTTCCAGATCACTACTCTGCTTTTGACAGAGTTGTCAGGTTCTTATGTCTGGTTCAGTTCAGAGTTCTGATCCCTTGCAGAGTAAATCCAATCAGAAAGAATCAAATCCGATAGTTGCAAGAGTCGCTGGCAATCATAAAGTATTAGTATTCCTTAACCTCCCTGGTGGTATGATTATAAAGTGACTTTCTGCAATTGATTCTAATTTACTATCGCTGTTTTCTACCTGGTCTAAAACCGTTTTTGACCTAAAAGGAAGCTTTTTGGATGCCATGGACATTTACAAGTTTCCAGGCAGAAATAACAGCAAAAGTGCAGGCAGGGCACTGGACAAAGCTCTAGGGACAAAATTGAAGTGAAATAGTTTGATACATAAGTGTAATTATAGCAGATTGCATTGTATTCTGTGCATGTCATTTTTCACTTTTGAATTTCCCACCGGCTCCGCTCCCCGCTGTGATGCCCGAAAACAAAAGTAAAACTCAGATGCCGGCATCGGCCGGCCGCATACATCAGAGGACACCGCGGGCTCGCAGGGACAAGGTAAGTATCACTTTTCTGTGCATTCCCGAGTCTGGCTCGGGGTTACCGCTCCTGGTACTGAAAGTTAACCCCGAGCCAGACTCGGGAATACCGCCAGGGAGGCTGTGATGGCAGTGCATTTGTATACACATTTCTGTAGTGCATTTTATATCGCATGAGGTGATGAAGTAAGTGACTTAACTACTTGAAGACCAGAGTGTTAAACCCCCTTCCTGGCCAGGCCATTTTTCAGCATTCAGCGCTGCAGCACTTTGACGTCTGGCGTTTATTCCGCCATGCAATGCTGTACGAAAACAAATTTGATACCATTTTTTGGGGACAGATAGAGCTTTCTTTTGGTGGTATTTAATCACCTCTGGGGTTTTTATTTTTTACCATATAACAAAAAAGTACCCTAAATTTTGAAAAAAAACCTGTTTCCCCTTCAAATGTTCTGGAACATTTATTATCACCCCAATTGTTTGGTAAAATATAAAAGATGGGGTCACATCAGGTAAAGAAACACCAAACATTTCAAGACTTAAAATTGTGCGTGCCCGTGATATCGCAGAAAAAGACCACACCCAAAATTGGCCATAGGCGACGATGTAGAATCTTTTACTGCTCATCAGTTTATTGTTATCAGTAATTAATGGCCCTAAAATTATTGCTCTCACTCTGACGTTCGCGGCAATGTGTAACATGTGCGGCACAATAGGCTGAATTGTTGTTTTCGCACGTTGGCGTACCCGGCACATGTTTGCGTGTGTATGTGGGGGGTGGGGGACCTTAAAAAAAAATTGTGTTATTTTACATTTTTTTATTTGTGACTATTTTTTTTAGCTTCTTTATTTTTTTATGCTTTCATTTTTTTTAAACATTTGTTTTACAATTAACTTTATTGCTATCACATAGGGGACTAAGAAACCTATGTGATAACCAATTTACATTACAGGTCATCTTTATGGAGACATCAGGGGTCACACACCCACATCTACTACAAGCGATCGGGCGTCTCTAGAGAGGCCCAATCACTTGAATGTAAACAGCCATCGCTGGCTCTAGAGACGCCATTGCTGGCTGTTTACATTTCTGACAGTTTCCCCACTCGTATGCGCGCTGGGTGCCACGCATGAGCGGGGGGACGTCTTAAGATGACCTCCCGCTCCTATAAGGATCCCGTCCGGCCATTCAGGAACGGCCATGGACAGCTGAGTTGGAATCTTGTCCTAAGTAAACTTTGACGAGGCAACATAGATTCATACAAGCAAGCACTTACCGTGGATACATAACAAGGCATTATAAAAATAAGGGGCACACTGACAAATTTGCACACATGTAACAGTAATGAAAACTAAATGTTGCACTACATTTTTGTCTGTACAGAGTAAATGACCTGTACTCCGATGAATCTACAAGCATTATACATACACATTTATTGCAACCGGATACATAAACGGGACATTTGAATCTTACACTTTAGGAGCCTAAAATAGTAGTAAAGTCTATGTATAGTCTAAGGCCCCATTCACATGGGCTAATTAGGTCTGTCTGTCTGCCGCTATTCACATATAGCCACACAACGGATACCTGTGACTAGAGACAGATGACCGGCCCTGAAAGGAGACATATTACCAGTCATTGTTTTGTAAAGGCTGAGAACAGCTGACTGGAACCACCTGTGATTTCAGCCGCAAGAATCTACAAATGCATGCCACAGAAATCTGCTGCCAGAACCACTTAGCTTTGTGAATGGAGTCTAAAACTAGATAATTTTAAAAAATGGGTACTACCAAAATTGATAACCAGAGGAGACCTGACAAATCTGCAGTGATAAAATGACTGAACTAAGAGAAACCTGACTGAACAAATTGGGTATTCTGTGTGCGAAATTGTATTTGTTTATTGATAGGAAATCATCATAGAATCATTATTGCATGCTTGGAAGATCTTTCTTTGTCCACTTCATGTTTTCAAGTGTACCTAATGCAATAGCTGAATATATATTTTAAAATATACCTTTCCTTGCAGGTGAATATGTTGTCATGACAACCCACTTTCACTTAAAAAGAAAGATTGGATACTTCGTAATTCAAACCTACCTGCCATGCATTATGACAGTCATACTATCCCAGGTGTCTTTCTGGCTCAACAGAGAGTCTGTTCCTGCAAGAACTGTGTTTGGTAAGTTTTATTAAACTGATCTGAACATGGCTGACATTGTGGAGCTAGATATATGTACAGTATTTTATGGATTTTTTGTAGTGATATGTCTAAATGCTGCTAAACGTTTTATTTTCTGGATCTGAATATATATATATATATCTATATAGATATAGATATATATATATAATACACACACACACACTCACTGGTCACTTTATTATGTACACCTTGCTAGTACTGGGTTGGACCAATCAGAACTGCTTTAATTCTTCCCGACATTGATTCAGCAAAGTGTTGAAAACATTCCTTAGAGAGTTTGGTCCATGTCAGTACAAGAGAACATCACACAGTTTCTGCAGATTTGTCGGCTCCACATTAATAATGCAGAGCTCCACCAACCTGAACCATTGGTACAAGCCAGGATGGATACATGCTTTCATGTTGTTTACATCAAATTCTGACTCAACCATCTGAATATCGCAACAGAAATCAAGACTCATCAGACCAAGCAACATTTTTCCAGTCTTCTATTTTACAATTTTGGTGAGCATTTGCAAACTGTAGCCTCTGTTTCCTGTCCTTAGCTGACAGAAGTAACACTCGGTGTGGTCTTCTGTGTCTGTAGCCCATCTGCTTCAAGGCTCAATGTGTTGTGTGTTCATAGATGCTCTTCTGCATACCACGGATATAACGAGTGGCTATTTGGGTTACTGTTGCCTTTCTATCAGCTTGAACCAGTCTAGCCATTCTCCTCTGACCCCTGGCATCAACAAGGTATTCTTGCCCAGAGAGCTGCCGCTCACTGGATATTTTCTCTTTTTCAGACCATTCTCTGTAAACCCTAGAAATGGTTGTGTATGAAAATCGATCAGCAGTTGCCGAAAAACTCAAATCAGCCCGTCTGGGACCAACAACCATGCCATGTTCAAAGTCACTTAATTCACCTTTCTTCTCCATTCCTGACCATGTCTATATGCCTAAATGTATTGAGTTTTACTCTGACCCATTGCCGCCCTTACCATGTTAAGATATGCCAGACTGCTGTATTTTTAAAAATAAATGGTCTTTGTGCCCCTTAATCATATCAGCCTGATGTATTAGACATATATCTCTATAGCAGGAGGGTTGTGAGCAAGAAAGTCTTATATAAATAAATGTAATGGGCATCTGTCTTCAACATGCCCCAAAAGATCCTCCTCTTTATAGAAAACAAATCATTTGAGCCAGCAAAATGCCACTTAATTAGATACTGGGAACACAGATCAACAAGTCAAGTCACATTTTTTCTATCTGCAGCAATCAACTCTAATCTCCATCTCAGTATTTTTTTTTACCTTTGATATTATGGTTCTGCAGACATCTTTCTTGTTATATTAGTTGAAGGCCCAATCTGAGCAACAACTATAATTAGTAGTGGCAACACAACACAATAGCACGATTGATATAACTTATAGTCCCACCTTGGCTCAGTGGAAGTAGAGTGGAAACCCTTTAGTGATATGAAAGCCAATAGTAACTGATTGTCAGCATAATGTATACCTGTTTCATGCATACCTATTTTTAAGGCTTACTGATGCTGTACGTATCTTTAAACGTGATTGGCTTTATATCCAAGCTTGTCAACTGCTGTTGACAGCTATTATTTTAAAGGGGACTCTCGGGGGAAACGTTCGGTTATACGTTTATGGTCGTAAAAGGGTCCACTCACAGGTCATAATGTTAAATTACTGTAATTTTGTATATCTCATGACTTTGGTTAAAAATAAATGCCATTATGTCATAAATGGGTTTAACCACAACTTAATAAAGATTAAGAGGAACGTTGGAGTAAGAAAGTCATAACGACAGAAAGACCCTGTTTTGTTAAAAGATTGTGTGTCAAGGAAGGAAAGTGGTCAAGTGTTTGCCTTATTCAAAATACTTTAAGCTGTATTCTGCTAATTGGTTGACATATTCCCTAGCACCTCTTTTGAACCTGCTAGCATTGCTCTGCAAAGACATTAAAAATACTGCAGCCAGTTTTGCAGTTCAGCAGAAATCTGTTCATTATAATTCAGTTATTTGTGCATTTGAAATTTCCTTGGGGAATAAAATAACAGGTTTCCAAAATATCCCATTAAATGCCAAATACATTTCTTGTTATGTGACACTCCTGGCCATCAGTTTATTTCTAGAATTTTCATAGCGAACAACATTGTGAAAACACTGCAGTAGATATAATATATTAATATCTACAGTTGTCAAGGTAACGCAAAGGCATATGATGTGCAGAACATGTTCAGATACAGCCTCAAAAAAGTACATTTATCCCGTTTGATATTGTAACATTTTGACACCACATTATAATACATAATTCGTATTTGCAGAAACATTGGCTAAATAATAATTTTAAAAAAATGTAACCCCCAAAAAGGACAGAGCAAGAAAATTTAGCTATTACAACTCACCAATAAGAAGTTAAAAGGAAATACGTTTACTATTTCACTGCAGTGATATCAGTTATTTCAGAAAATTGCATGTTATTATTGCATGTTGCCATCTTGTACAAACATTAGGCAAAGTGAAGGAGGAATATTCAAGAACAGAACCTACCTCTAGAAGGTGGCCTGCACAGTTTTACACTGCAGCCATAGGATAGCCATCTTATGTATTGTCCTAGTATCTGTTGGGAGGATGACTAAACAATTTTCAACTCTTTTTCTGCAGCACTATGGAAAAAAATCAAACCGTATACACCAGTCCTGTCAACTTGAGGGGTAATGCTAATGCTGGACCTATACATAATATAAGTTTATAATGGATGCTAGGAACATCAAATAAATACATATTTATATAAAACGTTAAAAGGATAGAAAATAATATCTGGAAAATTTATATTCACTCATTTATATATGCTTCAGTGTTCCCATGTGTCCTCATTATAGAGCTCCTAAATCTTCATACTTTAGCAAAGGTGGTAATGAGGTTTAGGGGGCATTACTGTGGCTTAGTCTGTGGTGTTGGCTGCAGGTGAGTAGAGAACCCCATGTCATCAAAGATACTGTACATACTGGCCACTTTTTTTTGTTTCCTTTGCATAAAGAATAGCAAACAGCAAAACCCTTTTGCTTTGCATATCATAATCATGTTGCAGAACTTGCACAACGGTGGTTTTCTATTCTTCATGCAGTTGTATGCTATGCATGAAACAAGACTGCATAGAGAGAAAGTCTGCCCAGCATACACATCGTTATGAGTGTGCTGGGCTCCTAGGCAATTAGGAGATGCAGGACATTGATCAGCAGAAGTAGCAGGAAGAGACAACGAGCACTCTTTTTGCTTACAGAACTCCAATGATATATTCCACCCTATCAATGCCCTAAACTAGAGCTGTTGGCAGAGAGAGCCTGCCAGGCAGACACAGCCTACAGTTTATACCTCCCTGTCTGTGTCTTGAGTTCCTGGACAATGAGGAGCTGCAGGAAATGGAAGTACAAAGCTAGTACAGAGGGCAGAGAAAGTCTGCTGGACAGTTTTTTTAAATTAACACAAACCACTCCACGGTGATGCCTTACATAACCCTATCAGTTGTCTTGAGCTAATTGGTAATTAGGTGCTGCAGGACACAAATCAGAATAACTATATCAGAGGGAGAAACAGCAGAGAAGGGAGAAATGGGTTTGGGTGAAAAGAATCCACCCCTGTTCTGAAAGTGAACAATCCCACTACTGCAGGGAGTGTGGGTGTGTTGATGTCTAGGCTGCCTGATGTTGCAGATAGAGTGTGCAGTCCCCTGGACAGGACATTTGGGGAAAAAACTGACTGACTTCTTAATAGGATACCACAACAATGCAAAATGAAAAAAAATCTTTTATGCAAGGACACAGGATAAAATAGGTGAAAAATGACCAACATCCCAGCAAATTTTTTTTTTTTTGCCTGGAGATGAGTTTTAAAGGGTTAGTTCACCAACACCCTCCACACTTCCCTGGCCCCCTGTTCACTTAACTGCTTACATGGCAACCTCCCACCATCCAAGCCACTGGTGTAAAGGACCGCACCCTTTAACATTTTACTACATACAATGTTGGCAATGGAGAGCGGTCATTGGTCAGGTTGTCATATCAGCCAATATATGGCTGATATGCGAGACTGCTGCACACATTTTCGTTGTTTGTGGTAAGGTGAACTAATTCTTAAAATGTGTCTACCCTGGGCAATTACAAATGCTCTTTTACAAAGATAAGGAAAAGGTACTAATTTGTTAATGTACAATTTAGACTTATAAACATAATACAAAAACGCATGAACATTCTACTATATATGAGGACATTCTTAAAACGCATGAACATTCTACTATATATGAGGATATCGAATAACACTGCAAAAATCTATTATTGCTCTTTCTTTCCATGAGCTTTGAAACCTGTCACCACTGGGCTAGACCAGAGTAAGAATTGCACTGTTTTCATTCACCTTGTCTGCAGCTTGCACTGTAACTGCAGATGTGGAATAAGAACAAAAAGTTATTTGCTTCACATAGCTGGCTGATTCAATGCCTTAAAGCTGAATTGTGGTTCTGATGCTCGTCCAAAATATGCATTATAACAGACTCACCTGCCTGTTTGCCCTCCTCCAGCACTGACAAATAAGAGCTGTTTCTCACTGTTCCTAGTTGCTTCATCCTCCTCCACCTGCTCCTATTTGGCCATTGGGTGGCCATCAATTTTGTTTGTCATGCTCAGGAGGACGTTCCAAATACCATTCACACTCCTATGGTCTTACAGCATACAAGTATCTGTGGTGCTCAAGGTGACCGCACGGATGGTGCCGTGCAAACACTAACAGTAAATGCAAATGTTTCACTGGCACACACTTGGAAATTTAAATATCAATAATCCATTGATATATTTTATTAAGAATGTCACATCATGTCATGCAGTGCTAACGTTTTGGTTCCACCCAGGAATCCTTCATCAGAGCGAGATAGTGACTATGTTGCTCCGATGAAGGATCCTTGTGTGGACCCGAAAGGTTAGCACTGCATGGCATGATGTGACATTCTTAATAAAATATATCAATGTATTATTGATATTTCAATTTCCAAGTGTGTGCCGGTAATACCTTTGCATTTAATGCTCTCAGGAGGTACATTGTTCTGACACTTGCCATCTTACAGATGTTAGGAATGGGCTGGAAATTGCACACTGCATTGCAAATGTGCCACTGGTAGTGTAAACTAGAATTAAAATTGCTAGGAGTCAAAATATTGCTAGAAGGGTTTTTTTTTAGAAGATACAGTACATGCAGAGCCATTTATGTTAAAAAAAAAAAGTCTGCCTCCTAAAAAAAAATGTTCACAACATTTTCACTTTAACTACCTAGAGTCATAAATGATGATATGTGTCTTGCAATGCAATACAGTTAGTGCAGGTCACAAATTCTTACAAGACGTAATCAGAAAAATGCGTTTTTACCACAGAAGGTTAAAACGAAGTGCAGCTAGTAAACAGGGTCGGAGAGTCAAAATGTAATACAAAACAGTAGTTTATTAGTTAAAACAATTGTCTAGTGATTAACCAAATGCACCATTAGAACCAACAAACCCAACACACTTAAAAATATAGTTATTGCAATAACCCATTCACTCGTAAATGCACACAGACATTCTATGGGCGAGCTGATCAGCGTGATATATGTTTCCGGGTGTCCTCAAGAAGTTTGAGGAAACAGCACTTGGACTATAATTGTAGAGAGGATTTAATGTCAAATGCCTGGGATTTTGTTCTATTGTATTTAAGTATTTTTGTCCATATATTAAGGTAATAATTTCATGAGTTGGCAGTATCGTTGATTAAATGTTTCAAATAGTCTTAATTCTTAAAGTGGAAGCAGGTAGTGATCAAAGTAAGGTGCTTGATTGGAGATCAATCTTTAAGAGTACAGAGACATAGATGGAAGTCCGATGGTACAAGGGAAAGTGTAAACCTCAATTGTAGTCACACTTAACCCAACAAAAGTGTAGAGTCTCGAATAAATTGGTACTCACAAGTGTTTGGTTTCTTTGAACTGGCAGTCCGTCTTTCAGTGTATGATGTGGCTTGATGCTGCAATACTCCAAGTTATCCTCACTGATGTTTCCACTTGCGGAGGAAATTAGAGACAACTCTGATGGTTTCCTTCAAAGTGTAAAGACGTAGAGCAAGGTCCCAGATACAAAATACTTAAATACAATAGAACAAAATCCCAGGCATTTGACATTAAATCCTCTCTACAATTATAGTCCAAGTGCTGTTTCCTCAAACTTCTTGAGGACACCCGGAAACATATATCACGCTGATCAGCTCGCCCATAGAATGTCTGTGTGCATTTACGAGTGAATGGGTTATTGCAATAACTATATTTTTAAGTGTGTTGGGTTTGTTGGTTCTAATGGTGCATTTGGTTAATCACTAGACAATTGTTTTAACTAATAAACTACTGTTTTGTATTACATTTTGACTCTCCGACCCTGTTTACTAGCTGCACTTCGTTTCAACCTTCTGTGGTAAAAACACATTTTTCTGATTACGTCTTGTGTCAGCAGCTTTGGGTCGTGTGTTCTGAGAGTCATGAAACAGTGAAATATACTGTGATTTATCTCAGGTGTGGTACTCTGGGTACAAATACCCCTTTTTTCTATACACAAATTCTTACAAGCAGATTGGGGAATACAAGCCACTTCGTACATGGCTGTTGCAGGTGTTAGCAACCATGCATTTGCTTTAAAATCAGTGGCTGTAGGTTATTGCTGATATTAAGTTTAATTTCAAACAAAAATATGTCAGCCACACACAGATTAGCAGACAACATTCATCTTGGAGAACTAAGAGATTGCTGCTGTTACTGCCAATGAATACAATCTAGGGCTATGATAAAAGGAAAATTAAATATGCGAGTATAGTATTGCTTCTGTATAAATGCTTAGTATAGCCATATCTTTAATATGGGGTTTTCAACACTGCACTATAAGAGGCAAATGTATCTTACAATTGAAGGTGAAATAAAACTGGACCTAATTAGTAGGAAGAGAAATAACTTTTTTTACAAGTAATTGTATAGTAAGGGATTTATATAGTAAGTATAAACATTTGAAAATGTAATATTTTATACCAAGGACTGTACAAAAGGAAAAAATAGCATAATTTTCATTGGGAGGAAAGATCTTACCATCAGCATAGAAAGGACTTGTTTACTATTGGAATGGATACATTTTAATATGCCTTACAAGGTTAAGTAGTAACAACTTAAACAAAAACTGTATATTAACAAAATTGATGATTTTCATAAAACTTTGCTATGTTCAGTCTGCTGAACAGTTCTACTATAAGCTGATGGTCGCTTAAGCTTATAGTAGAACTGTAAATGCCAGGTCCGTATGGCATACTGACCTGGCCAGCTGGAAGCACTTTTGTAGGTCCGTATGCCATACGTCCTTGGCAGCGAAAGGGTTAAAGGATTGAACAATAATGTTTTGATCCAGTGAACTAATAAAACTGGCTTGTGGCCTTCAGGCCTCATCCAGCATCAGCTTCTACTTCCTGGATTGAGATGTTGGCTCTGAGATGACAAAAACATGTACACCCTGGTACCTTTGCAGTTCTGTGTTTACAGTGTCTGACACAGATCAGACCACTGCTGTGGCCTCTCACGTTATGACTTCCTACATACGGTATAATGTTGTGGTTTGATTACTGTGGGGGAGAAAAAACTGAGAAAATGCTTACCCTGGCCTGCAGCAGACATAAGTACTTTTCAATCTATGTAAAGTTCCTGCAGGGGAGCTGAAAGACTGCTTTTTTAATGATCAAACGTACATACAGATAGTTTACCATTTTGTGACATGTAAGAGTTGTTTCCTGTGCATTTATACTGAATTACAAAATGGGTTATAGTCATGCCTGACTAATATACACAAATGTGTATAGCATGTTTATGTGCATTAGTTAGAGAATAGGGTTGTTATTCTTTTAATCATTTAATGATTGGAACTTTATATTCTAGTACTTTGATGGTTAGCTCATTCTCAAGGGACATCCGAATTTGTATTCTCTTAGCCCAGTACTAACATCTAAATGTATTTGGTGTGTAATATAAAATATATATAATTACATAAATATACATACTGTTGTTGTATCTGCTTAAACAGTTTCCTTTTGTATGTGATTCTAATTATACTTTAACCTCTCTTTTCTGCAGGTGTAACAACAGTACTTACCATGACCACACTGAGCATCAGCGCAAGAAATTCTCTGCCGAAAGTAGCTTATGCCACTGCCATGGACTGGTTTATAGCAGTGTGCTATGCATTTGTATTTTCAGCTTTGATTGAATTTGCAACTGTGAACTATTTTACAAAGCGAGGGTATGCATGGGATGGAAAAAGTGTAGTTCCAGAGAAGGTAATATTCCATTTTCATAAATAGTTGCATATTGGTAATTTGCAATATTGCATTTGTAATCCATTGTTTAATATCTAGATTGTACCCCAGGTTTCTTAACTAAGAGTTGTTCATCTTGGTCCTAGTCGGATTATGTTGGGCAAGAGTTGCCCAACATAATCTGATACTTTTCCTCAAGTACTCAACAATACCAATTACCGATACCGTTTATTTAGTGTCATGTGACAGTTTTTCTAAAGCAATACAGACTAATGATTTTAGGACAGTGGAGGAGCACCAGGGCCCAGTCAACGCTAGTAGTTCTGACTCCAAGCTGTAGAGGGACTACAAATCCCAACAATGCATTATACAGCAATGCAGAATACCATTAGCTATAGAGGACTACACATTCCAGCAATACATTATAGAGAAATGCAAAACAATATGCTGCATACTCTGTGTTGCTCACCAGGGCTGTGCAGTGTCTCAGGATGCTGTTTGGGATCTGACCAGGGCTGTGTGGAGTTTGACCAGGGCTTTGTGGGGGTCTTACCAGTGCTGTGTGGGGTCTCAGGAGGATGTGCAAGGTCTTATCAGGGCTGTGCGCAGTCTCACCAGGGCTGTTCAGGGTCTCAGGAGGATGTTCATGGTCTCACCAGGGCTGTGCAGGTTCTCAGTAGGCTTTGTGGGGTCCACCCAGTACTGTGAGTGGTCTCACCAGGGCTATGTACGGTCTCACCAGGGCTGCATGCGAGTCTCACCATGGCTGTGCAGTCTCAACAGGGCTGCATGCGGGTCTCACCAGGGCTGCGTGCGGGTCTCACCAGGGCTGTGTGTGGTCTCAATAGGGCTTCATTTGGGTCTCACCAGGGCTGCATGCGGGTCTCACCATGGTTGTGCAGTCTCACCAGGGCTGCGTATGGCATCTCACTATGGCTTTTTGTGGGTCTCACCAGGACTACACGAGCGGATCTCACCAGGGCTGTGCCAGGTCTCTCCATGGCTTTGTGGTCTCACCAGGGCTGTGTGCAGATCTCACCAGGGCTGTGTGCAGATCTCAACAGGGCTGCATGCGGGTCTTACCATGGCTGTGCGGTCTCACCAGGGCTGCATGCAGGTTTTACCATGGCTGTACTGTCTCACCATAGCTGCTTGCGTGTCTCACGTGGGCTGAGCGGGTGGGTGTGGGTCTCACCAGGGCTGCGCAGGTGGGTGCAGGTCTCACGAGGGCTGTGCTGGGTCTCAGCATGGCTGTGCGTATGGTGGAAATGAGAAGATGTGCAGCTGGACTGGCACTGTAAACAGTTGCTGCAAGGTCCCCAGGAAACTGCCACGAGGTCCCCAGCAAGCACGGCAGCCGCTTGTATTTAAAAAAATGTAAGTGCCGGTATCGGTGCTTAGTATCGGGGGATTTTCACAAGAATCAGCTTCCCTAGTTAGCAGCAGATTTCTCATATTATAGCTGAGTTGTCTCTTCAAACTCATCCCAGCAACAAGACACAACCTGAGTACAGTTTTCACAGCAAAGTTGAGATAACTGCTTTTGATTTTCTGTCTCTGCTGACAGGCATCCCAGGTGCCATAGAAAGAGGAAGTGGAGGAGAAATAGACAATATCTCCATTAACCCATAAAAAAGAAACAGAAAGAGCTTGCAAAAAGCAAGAGCAACCGAGCCCGAATAGAGAAGCTTTTAAGATTGGATTATGCTGTGTGCTTGTTTCTCCAGTTAGTTATTTAAAACCATGTGAGGCTAGCTAATCTCCAAATAGTGTTCTTGTCCTTACTTTGGGAAATATTACCCTGCTGATTACTACTAGTAGCTGGTGGTCTAGTGGTAGTAGTAGTGGTAATCAGTAGTAAGAATAGTAATAAAAAAATAGGAACATTCTGTAAAGTCCAAAGTGTGGTGGACTTTAGTGTCCTTTTGTGTGAAGGGTCTAGTGTCTTTGTAAAATGGAATTGTAAACTATCTTCTAGCATTTGGATTAACAACAGTATGCCAGGCCTGCTATGCTGACATTGCTTTTTAGTATTACGTAGGTGTCATAAAAGTAAATATCTGTAATACAATATTACTGCATGTCAACATTAATGGAACAGTGCCACCAGGTGGCTTCATCAGAAAATAACATAAAATAATACAGAGTTTGTTCAGTATGCTATAAGAAACACCATTTGTACGATTTTCATTCGAAATTTTTCGTTTCTGGCTTGAACCCTCGTTTGATTATACCTAGACTTCACCATCAAGCATAGTCAAATGTTGATTTCAGAAATAATTTTTTAGGCATACTAGCCAATTTTTGACAAACAACGTAGAGAATGAAATATGTTGGCTTTGATTAAAGGTGGCCATACATTGTACAATTTTCATTCATAAATTGTACATAAATGGTCTTTCAAACAAATATCAAACAGTTGATGGTACATCACCAATTTTTTTGGTTTTGATATTGTGATCAAAATTTTACGATCGGTCAGGTTGGAAATGTTTTCCAAAATCGACATTTGACTATGCTTGATGGTGAAGTCTAGGCATAATCGAAAGAGGGTTCAAGCCAGAAACGAAACATTTTGAATGAAATACAATATATTGCCACCTTTTGTCTTTGTTATTTGAGGACAATTAGGCTCAATTTAGAAATTTTGCATGTTCATCTGTTATTGAGTGTACTAATATGCATTTTGGCACGGCAGCCTATTTATTTGAATGGGCTGCCAACAAACCACAACACTCATGAAGCTACATCATTTTTTCAAAGCAAATCACCACATTGTACAAGCGGGTTTGTTGTGGTGCACTGTAATGCACATGTTTTATGGTGCTCTGGGAAGATCCATTGGGGTGCCATTTGAAAAGAAGGGCACCACAATGCAATTGTTACCCAAACTCCTATTTTAAGTTATGATCTGCTATATAAGCTTTCACACTTACAGGTATAAGGTTCTGAGGATTCAATCATGAGATTTTCAAGCTCCACACAATAACAGAAATGTATTGGTATATAGTATGCAGACTTGCATACAATGAACCAACAATCTATTTAACTACAAACATAAAGAAGAGATCTAAGCATGCATAGAAATATTAATAAAAAGCACATACCATGGTACATACATACAAGACAAATACACAACATGCACAGACATATCCGGATAATTACCAGGAGATGTTCAGGTATCGGTCCATCTGGTCATCACAAAAAGAGAAAGAATCTCTTCCCACAATCATTGATATAACCCGTGTCCATAGGGATGCATTGCGAGCCCACGATTGGTTGCCTCCCAAGGCTTAATTTAATCAGATTATAATTCTTTAATGGGGATTGGATGCTTTCAAATACCCTTTGTTAGAACTCCCAACCCCTTTCTATGTGAATCTTTTAAAATGAGCGGGACATTTAAGATGGGCAGGTGTCCTTAGGCTAACCCAAGGCCAAGATTGCATCTAAACAGGGCGGACATTCTGGTTGTTTACCGGCTAAACGGACACCTTTGAAGATATTGGCTAGGGACAAAAGAGAATATGTACCTATTGTTAGAATCAAGGGTCTCGGCTCCGAAAAGACTGAGGACGGTATTGTGTTCAGCCATACTCTATGTAATTACCTGGATATGCCTGGGCAGAACAATAACCCCACTTACAATTATTTGGTATGCAACACCCCATGGACAGTGATAACCCACAACCAATACTATATTTAATTACTAGCTCCCATCAACTCAGGTGGAATATTTAAAAACAAAAAATAAAACTATATACTGTACATATGTCTTATGTCGATTGTCTTACGACTTTGTGTGGTAACACAAGGCAGTATGGTTTGTGAGTTACTAGAGTTGCACACTAGGTAATTGTTAATAGATCACAGGCATAGCTGAATTTCCATTGCTTTTAGCCTCCTGCAAGAGAGGGTAAGGACTGCTGCTGCATGCAAATGCAAACATGCTGATAGGAAGAATACAGAGTGAATAAGACATGACCTCATCAGTCTACTACTGCTCCTTCACTGTGCAGTCATCAGGTTGGGACTGGAGAAAGGACATTACTGTATCCTGTCTACAGTCTTATGGTATTAATTGACAACTACATTATCAATTTAATAATTTTGCATACTTTGTAAACCTAAGTCATTGTAAACATTTCATGAAAATTTTAAAATAGATGAACTATATATGAAGATGGAGTAAAAATACAGCTAATATACACAGTGTCATATCTCAACTATAACCGATGAATAAAATATGAACATTTTGAATTACAAAATATAATTTAACTGAATTCAGAAAAAATACACATACATTCTGAAGGCTTTTAATGTCAGAAAAACATGCTGTGTCTCAGGTCATTTATATTTGTTCCCTAACGTCTATCAATAAGGAATAATGATCCTGCTGTACACAAATAAGGTCTAGAGCAGTACATTCGTGTTCAGTAATTGATCTTACTATGGCATTGCAATAACAGATTTGTAATTTTGTTATTTTTATTTTGCTGCTCAAAAGTTTCCTGCTGTATTTCAATGATATTCTAACCCTTCACTGATGCAGTTTTTGTTTGCATTGATGGCTTACATAACCTGCATTTGTGTCTGATAAATTTGCATTGGGAACAATTAAAATGCAATTATTTGGAGGCAGAACTGATATTACTTGACCAAGAAATCATGTTGTTATTGTTGCATTTAGATGACAGCAGTTAGAAGGCTAAGGCTGAACCCATATCACATACTTTGACATATACAGTATATATATATTTGCAAAAACCATCCATAATTGACCATGGATAGACAATCATTAAAAAAAAAACATTTGTGACACCAACAGCTCTGCAGCTGATCTGTGACATTACAAGTTGGGAAGATGGAAGAGGAAGAAAATGTACCATGGTAACAGCTCTTCAGATAACTTGCTTAGCATTCTATTCCTATTGGTGTGGATATCTGTTAAATAGAAAGCCAATATGAATGGAGTAGAGGTGGATTTCCTGTCTGTCCTCAAGTATCTGCCTCACTTCTGTGGCTCTATTTTTTGTACAAAAAAATGTGCGTTCTCAAACTGGAAAAGTAGATAGTGAAGTGCCAAAAGTTTCCCAAAACTCTGCATGCTGTTTGCACAGAATTGTGAAGAGTTTGCTGGAATATACACTGCTTCTCTAATTTAGAGGTCTGCTTAACCACTTGAAGACCAGGTGTTTACACCGCCTTCCTGGCCAGGCCATTTTTCAGTATCCAGCGCTGTGGTACTTTGACATTTATGCCGTCATGCAAAGCTGTACTGAAATGAATTTTATAAAACATTTTGAACACAGATAGAGCTTTCTTTTGGTGGTATTTATTCACCACTGGTGGTGGTATTTATTCACCACTGTTCACCACTGAACATTTTGGAAAAAAAACTTTTTTTTTACATTATGTTAGGAAACAGTTATCATTACCCATTTTTTTTGGTAAAATATAAAAGACGGGGTCACGTCGGGTAAATAGTAAAATAGCAAAATGTTTTCCTGGCACACTCACAAGCTAGCATGTAAAAAAAAACTTGTCTCACACTTAGGTTAAAAACAGAGGTTTGGATACACGTCTTCTGCAGAAAATGTGAAAGCCGCACAGCCACGCAAGGCACCTCTTATAGTGCAGACCTAACTCTAAACTATCAGAGCCTCCATCTTGGAGCACATGGGGCAGAAGATAAAATTGGGTGCAGGTTTGTCAGGAGGAAGCCCAACTGCCTTAAAGGCACAGAGACGCACAAGGGATCCCGCACATGCTAGCTTGTGAGTGTGCCAGGAAAACTTTTTGCTGTTTTGCTTGACGTCGGGTAAATAGACACCGAACATGTCAAGCCTTAAAATTGTGCGCGCCCGCAAAAATCTACAATACCCAAAATTGACCATAGGCGACGCTTTAAAAGCTTTTACCGCTCATCAATTTAGAGGGTTATCCACAAAGCTGCGGAAGGCAGCCATGTGAATAACCGACTCAAAGTGAAGTGAGCCGAATGCTGTTCGGCTATTCACTTCAGGCTTGTACAGCTGATTTCAGCTGTACATCGGCTGAAATCAGTCATACATCGGCTTGCTTCGGGTCGGCCGAACATGCTCTGCAGAAGGAGTTCGACTCAGGCGATCCAACATCTGAATCGGCTGAGCCGCACCTACGGCAGGCTGTTCGGCTTATTCTCATAGGAGCCGAACGGCACTGAGTGACTAGCCAAATGCCGCCGAGCAGCATTTGGCTCAACTATTCTGCTCGGTACCTCCGTGGTACCAAGCAGAATAGAAAATCAGTGCAAAAAGTAGAAAATAAAGAAAAGTAGAAAAAAATGTTTAAAAAGGTGAATGAATGATAACTCCTAAAAAAAAAAAAAGGCTATAGTGAATAGCCCATACAGCAGCCCTTCGGTTCTACTGAACTGAAGGGCTCAGGTGGCTGAAGCTAGCTGAAGGATCAGCTGTAGCTACTAGCTTTGTAAATAACCCTTTTAGTGGTATCAGTGATTAATGGCGTGAGAATTATTGCTCTCACTGCGACATTCGCGGCGATATGTAACATGTGCGGTGTAATGGGTGCAATCGTTGTTTTTGCACATATGCGGACCCAACGCATGTTTGCACGTGTGTATGTATGGGTGGGGTCTTTACAAAAATGTTGTGGGTTTTTTAAATTCTTTTTTATATGTGACTAATTTTTGTTTCAACTTTAATCTTTTTTTCCTATTTTTTTTCCACTTAACGTTATTGTTATCAAATAGGGGGCTAAGAAACCCTCTATCTGATAGCAAAGAGATGTGACAGGTCCTCATCATGGAGACATGAGGGGTCTCCAAGACCCCCCAATGTCACCTAGGGACCCCCAAAGAAGCTGATGAAGCAGAGATCTGCTTCATCAGCTTCTCTCCATCTTCTGCAGCTGGAGAGTGACACAGGAATGTGGAAGTGATGTAATATAGATCACTTCTGCATTCTGACAGCGGAGAGGGGATGGAGGCAGATTGTGTGCCGATCTCACTCTGATCCCCTGCCACCATGCTGGTCCTGGGCTCGCACCGGGCACAGTGGAGCTTGGGACCAACAGAGGGGGGGGGTGCGCACCGATCGGTACCTTATACAAGCAATCCGCTGGCTCTATACCCGGCGGATCATATGTATGTAAACAGGCATCACTGCCTGTTTTTAAATTTGGGCAGTTTCCCATGCGACGCGTGCGAGTGGGTGGGGCCAACAGGACGTCTTTTGATGACCCGTTACTTCCAGGAAGCTCCCGGCCGGTCGTTTAATTACGACGGCCACCCGGGAGGCGGTTAAACAAAGTTGCTCTTAATTACCCAGTCACAAGAACAGATGTAATTGCCCATATCCCCTGCTCATAATATCTTCCTTCTGGTGCAGCTTTATTATAGCTTGTCCTGAAGCCTCTTTCATGCCCATTTCTGGCATATCTGACCTGATGCACTGTGACCTAAGAAGTGTCATGATTGATTTAATAGGGGGGGATGATCGGGGGGGAGTACAGTGTATTTTCCAAAGTACAAAAGCAATTATTGTTGTGTTTACCAAATGTAAACTTGTATATAACTTTCATAATTTAACTGGTTTGCTTGATATTTTGCAGGGCTAAACAACTAAATGCCAAAGTTTAATTCTGAAATTCAATAATAGCACATTAATTCTTGTATTCAGTTTAGCTAAAATTAATTACAAAGTAAGGTATGCACAGAACAAATCAACTCTGACCATTATTTTACTACAGTATGTCCAGTTAAAGTGACTTTGTCGCAACTTAAAATGTATCTCTAGGCAAAACCTCTTTATTTCAGTTTTAGATTAGCGCAGGTTAGGATTAGACCCTCTGTAGTTTGTACTGTGGTATCTGTATCCCCATTGGGAAGTATCTGTACAGGTGACAATTGTCATCTAAAAAGAAAGTAAGGAGAATACAACATTTTTAGATTTGTCCCACGAGGTAAGAGAACATTTGTAGAGCTTTAGGGAAGCTTCTTTAAGGAGCAGGAGTCAATTTAGGGTCATGACAAAGTACATCACCTACCCAAGAAAAATGTTTATTGTGTGATATGCTGAAAAGATATGAGAATAAAAAGTATATACACACGTATTTAGTATATCATTCTCATAGAGTCATCACAGCTTAGAATTTTAGCAGAAGCAACATGAATTCACATTCCTTCTGATAAAACTTAAATTATCCTTTCACAACTGCTAACTATTCTTATATATTATTTCTCCAAACATTTGAAAGCAACTAAGACACAAAGTGACACATAAGCCCTGATGAAGGGTGATATTTTGGACCTCTGAAACATGTTGGCTGTTTTATTTTATTGATCTTTACAAATAAAATACCATATTGGACTCTATCAGCAGTGGCACCCCTGTTTGTTCTACATTTGGTTCCAACTCCACACAGAGACACAGTGCAGAGCAAGGTATAGTAAGACAGTATTGTGTGAAATATCAGCTACATGGAGACCACAAGAAATACTAGTGACTAGTCCTTTGACTTCAGCATGCCTTTTTTGGGCACTGTTTCATACAGTGAATGTGCACCATGGCCTAATATATTCCTAAGGGAAAGCCATACTCCAAGCAACCACTGGAAGGTGCAAAAAGGAAAAATGTTTCTACATGAATGAATAGAGCCACAGCACACATGCAGAGTATAAAGCAACTATATTTGGGACAAAGGTTAACGGCTCTTAGCCGGGCAATACAGTGAGGATCGCTAGATCAGGGCTGAAGGCAAGTATTAGTACTAGTGGGCCAGCACTCAGGTCCGTTGGTGGATTTTATGAAAGGACCTTTTGTCCAAGATTGTCCAAGTGTACAGATGCAATTTAAGGTAATTTTACAAACAAAAAATTGGGGCATTGATCCTAATCCTTCACTGTAAAAATAAATAGGTGTCCCCTTTATGTACCTTTTTGCTTCTGGTGGCCAACACTGTGATGATCATTTATCACCTATAGGAACACCGAAGTTAAAATGTGTTACTGTGGATTGTCTGTTTTTTAATGTCTTCTTCTTTTATGGCATTTTTATAAGTTTGGATAAAGTTTGTTTGTTTGCTTTATTTTCCTAACAAGTCTTCTCTTTATCTAGCCAAAAAAGGTAAAGGATCCTCTCATAAAGAAGAACAACACATATGCTTCAGCAACAGCCAACTACCCACCCATAGCCAGAGACCCTGGTTTGGCAACCATTGCTAAAAGTGCAATCTTAGAACCAAAAGATATGGAACCAAAACCAAAACCTGCAGAGCCCAAGAAAACATTCAACAGTGTGAGCAAAATTGACCGGCTATCAAGAATAGCTTTTCCTCTTTTATTTGGGACCTTTAACTTAGTCTACTGGGCAACATATCTAAATCGGGAACCAGCAATCAAACCATCAGCACCACCTCAATAACCAATCAAATCATATTTCATGTTCTGTCTTTTGCACTGGGAATTGCTTCCAGTATTTGAAACGGAAAATTCCTATTTGCCATATTACCTCTGTCTTAAGGAATTTGAAGGTTTGCTTATGAAACATAGTAAAAAAAAAGTAAATAAATAAAAGAGGCCACTGCTTGATGCCACGGTACAAATATGTTGTGTGTCCAATAAAAGAGGTATCTGTGGTTCCTGAACTGGACATGTGAAACTAGACAAGAGTTTATTCAGTAGCATGTCAGTGAAATACCTAGCAGATAGAGATGTGCCCTGTTTACCATATCTACAGTTTATATTTTGCAGGGACATATGTTATATATTTAGAATATGACAGTAATATACTGTAAATACAGGAACTCCATGTAGTAAACACTACTGTAAGAGTAGTAAGTAACGCTTAGATTCAATGCAAATGTATGTTGTACTAGTGAAAAGGGTTGATGGCTTTCTGCATCTCAGTTACTGTTGAACTTCTTTAGTTCCGATAATCAGTCATTTATCAGGTAACATGGCATGAGGCTGACTATGGATTATAGAAGTCTAAAAGTGGTTGAAGTGCTGAAACATGGTCATCAAGCCTTACCATAAGTATTTAATGATGCTTGAAGTTTTCTAATGCTTCAAAATCCATTAACACATACATCTTTTTTTATAATCAAACAGATATATTCAAGCAGAAGCATTCCCTCTGCAAAACATGCCATTTACCACCTGCTTCTTTTAGAAATACAAATAGTTTGGAAATATGTTAAAAAGGTATATCAAATTATGCTACTAGTGTCTGTGTAATAAGCCATGCATCAATGTAGCCCAGTTAGTTTGTGCTTGCTTCAAACATGCAGCCATGTGCTGTAGAGTTTCCTATGTTTGCTTTTTAAATTCCTTTGCATATGATTGGACTTTTGAAGTGAACACAAACTTAGTAAAAAAAATACTCTTTCAATAAATCACCTGTATAGTGTTATTTGAAGTTGTCCAGGCCGGGCATTATTTTCCTTTTTAAACATTTCTTCAAGTTAAGGGGGAAGGGAGGGGATCTTTTTTTCTTAATTGTTCTTTAAAACTGTTGTCTACATAGTTTTTGCAGGTCTGGCAAACCTTAAATAATTACTAAAGTTGTTTGATCCTTAATTATTCATTTCTTCTGAGCACTGCAGCGTGAAAATGGGAAGTACTTTTTTTTACATCTTTAACCATATTAAAATAGAAGAAGCTTATTTTATCTATCTCTGTGTTGAATAGCAATGAAATTATAAAACGAAGACAGTGATATGATTTTTATATGCAACATTCAAAATGGCAGATAGGACTAGTTATTAAATTCTCTATTATATAGATTAATTAAAGAAAAAACAAACAATCACAGTGAATGTTTTACCTTAGTACCTCATAAACAGTTACTTTTTAACTTTAAATGAGTACATTTATATATCTAGACTGCCCACTGAAATAATTTTAGAAATATATTCATCCATCAGTGAGAATAATTGAGTAGAATATAAATTGTAATGTGTATAAAAAGTGTTACTTTGGTGCATACATTTCTTTTTGTAGACACTGCTTTCTCTTCATTACTATTGTCATTATTATTATAATTTTATCACTGAAGCAGAAAACAGTAGTCAGCACCCGCAAATAGTAGTCCATTTACCATACTGCAATTGCCACTTAAACATGAAAGATGAAGTATTTAGGTATTTTTAACATACCAGCATCCAACACTGTAAATTTTCGTTTTAGATTATATTTTCATTAAACAAATCATCATAGCGTATTTACACTGCATTATTATTCATTAGTAGAAGAAGAGAAATACAAACTCAGATCCATAAGAATGGCTAAATAATTTGCAAACTGCGTGTTAATTGTTTCTATATAGTGGACATAAATAGATTGCTTCTTAAAGGAGGTGCTTTTAAGCCATAGTATTGCCTATAATTCAGTTACCTTTTATTAGTATATTCATTTTTGAGTTTATGATGTCCATTTTCTTTAGTTTTCACAGAGGGTCTGATGCACTGATAGTTGCACATGCTAAATTTTAATTTTAGTGAAACTAAGGGGTCTTTTCACGAAGCTGCCATCAGCACTCCTTTGGTTCTACATAACCGAAGGGGTCCTGGAGCCGAAGCTAGCCGAAGGATCGGCCAAAGCTACGGCCAGATCCTTCGGCAGCTTCGTGAAAAAACCCCTAAGTTAGAAGCAGTACAAATTATTATTTAAAAAAGATAAAAGTATGTAATAAATATGTGATCCCTAACTAATTTTTCAGATAATGTTCATAATGCATTGGATAGAATAAGCCTAAATTCTTCCTAAGCATGCACATTGTCTGAGATGTCTAAAGGCAAATAGGCTGTTCACTTGGAAGGGAATTTTCCCTTTGCAGGGTGAATGTGGTGGCATTTTACTTTGTAAAGAATATAATGTGCAAGGAAAATTAAAAAACAGTATTTTTGTTTTCACATGATTGGGTGATGGAAGTCAGCAGAGCTTCCCCACATTCACTAAACTAAGGCAAAATTTCCCATGCAAAATGCAAACTCCCTTGCAAAGTGAATTGCCTATTTGACTTTAGTAAATCAACCCCAATGTATTTTAAATAAATCGTGCATAGTTATCCCTTAGAATGTGGGATAATCATTTAAATATATTTTTCATGGGGTTCAGGGACCCCATATTAACTATTTTATTCAATCACATGCAGGGGATTTTCTTTTGTTGTATCTCCCTTTACATAACTAGGTCTATGAAACAAATTGCATTGCTCCCTGGAATGCAACTGGAAAAAGCATTTGTGATTTCAAAAAAATATTTTTAGAGTTAAGTTTGAAGTACAAAAAAGTAAGCTGCAATTAAATTAACATTAAAGTTGCTTTTGTTATATTTTAAATTCCCATTAATCATTTTTTACCTTGTGTTATTTTTATTTTTATTTTTTTCTCATGTAACCATACAATACAACCTATATGCATCTATAACATAACACATGCTTAAAAGTAGTATATGGTATACTGAGGACCACAAAATGCATACATTCTGCTAATACTCCATGCATAACAAAAAAAAATGGTAAATACAAATTTTAGGTTTAAAATAAGATGTTAATAGGTCTATATGTATTGGATTAGGTTTAAGAGAGTAAAATGACCACACAAAAAACTAGATTGCAGAATAAATGCAGTGGATGGCTGATCATTTGTTTAATAGTCAACTAGCTAACATGTATTAAATGAAGAAACTGAATGTAATATATGCTAATACAAAAGTTTAGATTATGGAGAGTTTATATCTGTGTAACTGGATATTTTTTTTGTAAGTGTAATAATGATGTACTGTTCTCTATATTATTTGGATATGTATATGTTATAAATGGAGAAGAAATAGAATACAATACATTATTATTATATTTTTTTAATTCATGATGAACAACATATGTCATAGTTGCCAGAAAAGAATCAATCAATATGTGCTTATAATAGTACTGTTGCACTAAATATGTATTCATATTTATGCATTGCAATTAGAAAAAAACAGGTGTGTTTTTGTTACCGGGCAATCTAATAATTTGCTTGTCAAAAAAAATTGTCAAACAGAGTTACACTAGATATGCCATGCTGAATTTAAGCACAGTTCTTAAAGTTTGTACAATAAAGTCTATTTTCCTAGCTACAGGTTCAGCTCTGACAATAAACAGTCTTAAACTTTATAAGTTAAACTATCTTATTGCTCTAGCTCATACATTTTTGTTATGGGTGTAATAAGTCTAAATCAAAAGGATGATTTACAAAAGGAGTATTTATTGCCTACCCTTTGCCTAACAACTTGTTACCTGTGTTTAGTTTAATCAGCCAGTTTAATGCAAGGAAATGACAAAAGTTTGCCCAGCAAATGATAGCATGATTGAACAAGCACAGGTTTACTTGGGCATTTGTAAAACTATTTCTTTAGTATATCATCCCTAAGTGTTTTTTATCACAGTCCTTGTTTAATCTTATTTAGTACAAATATTACATAGATTATTTGGACCTGTGCAAAACGATTTTTGACAGCTGTGTCATCATTTTTATTAAGCTGAACAGTGAATGTATCAGTGGACTATGTGCTAGCTCGCATTTTAGTGTATTGCACTTCCAGTAACTTTTAAACAGTGCTAATAATTGACTTTTTGCTGTATAAATCAGAGCTACATTTCTAACTAAATATTGCCTTTACTAGTGTTGAGTATTAGGAAATCACTCATAACCCATTGCATTTAAAATATGTAGTCTATATGTGCTACAAATAGTAAACAACAAATACATGAATAATAGTAGACTATTATGCTGTTGGGAAAACAGCAGATGAAATATTAAATATTTATCTACAGGTTAATTATTTGTGAATTTATAAAAATAGTCACACAAATTATAAATAGTATAATATAATACTGCACAGAATGCTGCTAAAATGTCTACAGTTTTAAAGGTGAACTGTACGATTAGGTTCTGAGTTGCTATACAGGCAAGTGAAATGTTTGGCTCACTATGCCTCCTTAAAATTTTAAGAAATAACACAGGCAAAGGCTGCTTTGATTTTTTTTAAGCTGCTTTGTAGAGTGTGTACATTTTTTAAAACTAATTATTTTATCTCTTTATAGCATATAAGCTGAACATTAACCCTACTGTATATTAGACATTATTTATTTAATACAGTATTGAAAAAATAGCTTTGACATGTGTATGACCTCAAAAGAATGAATACAATTTCTACAAGTCAATAGCGCCTGTCTCCCCAGACATGAGATAATAAATTGTATTTTTTTTTTTTCTTATGCTTATTTTCTCTACATTATGACGATATTTAAAATTTCCTATTATAGAAAAATAAAATTGCAGATTAAATGTTTTAAGTTGTCAGCTGTTTCTAAGGCTTAAACACTCCTCAAATATTTATTTCCTATGGACCGATTAAATTGAACCCTGTTATCACTGGTGTCAACTGCATTAGCAATATAATACAACCATAAAACCATCTTTATTTTTTGCATCAAGTAGGTGGATTGTTTAGTATAAAATAAATCCCCAAAATGATTAATTTTGTTTTTTTGTAATTAAGCAGGCTATTGATAGAAGTATATTTAGGCCTGTTGGGAAAACCAGCCTAGCTATTTTAAACTATTCTGTCAATCTCTTCCCATTGCTGCATTTGTTTCTGATACCTGTTTTTGGGGCTGATTTATAACTCTTCCATTTACACAGCACTACCACTACTAGATGGTTCTGGATCTACACATCGTTGCAATGATAATTAGAACTTTGTGTGCACTTACATGTAAAACAACTCAAATTAATGCTTATGTCACTATAAAATAATGTATCTTACAGGGAATGTATATTTTTTGTATATATTTTCTTTATTATGTGCAGGACTAAACAATAAAATGTGACACCTTTTTTTTATTTTGTTTGTCAAATATAAAATATTGCATAAGAAGAGTTCATATTTACTATTTATATATATATATTACAGTCCTTAGATATGGTGGTTTCATTAGTTTTTATTTTACAGGCTTGGAACATTTTTAGCAAGTACATAAAATATGTGTTTATATTGCTAGAAAATGTCCCTTCCACTTGAACTCAATAGAAAGTACAAACGTCCTTATCTTTCTCCTGCTACCTACCAGGCCCATCAATTCACCATGTAATTGAGATAAACATAGATAGAATGGAGGAATTAGTGCAGACACTAAGGAACAGGAAGTGTGTTATTTGCAGCTTCATCAGGTAAAAATAAAGGGAAACATCCTAAAGAAGGAAAACTAATGTGGCCCCCACATCTAAGCACTGGTAGGCTGAAATGTATTACATTTTTGTTTTGGGGGTTTGGTACACTTTGGACCTGTTTACGTCTGTTCT